ACTACCACGATATAACAAAGTTTGTATGGAAAACAATATTTTTAGAAAGCCAAGTCTTTTGGTCAAAGGCGAAATATGTCGCATATTTATAAGTACAGATAATGCAGAAGCCATAGGGGACCTGGCGGTTCTATCTCATTACACAATCTGTGATCAACCCGCGCTACTCTCCTTTAGAACCGGTCCGTCGGCTCCAACACGAAGGATTTGAGCTTAATATTTAGCAAAGACATTGAACCTAATATAACGGCAGTTTTGTGAATTTGTTTCTTGAAATGACAATTTCAAATATTTTTTTCAATCATAAACGTATTACAATGTTTTCATAACACGATAATATCATGCCGAATTTACATAAATTAATAATTGATTAATAATTAGTATTTTAGTTATATGTTAATTTAAAACAATCTTAGACTTTTAATAAATAAATAAATATGTTGGGACATTAACACAGCACCATCTAGTTCCATGGTACGAGGCTTGTGTTATGGATACCAGATAGTTGATACACTATACATGTATAACTTTAATACATACATATTATAAATATAAACAACCATGACTGGAACACAAACATTCGTATTCATCACAAAAATGAATGCCCCAGCGGAACTCGAACCCGCGATCGCTGGCACAGCAAGTAGGAGTCACTACAAACTGATCCAAACGTGTCGTCAAATTAAATAATAACTCCGATTACAATTTCGTTTAAAATTTCAATATAGCTTTTGTAAAACCGATAGATTTTTATAGGCATTAGTGGACGAGCGAAGTCGTGGCCGAAAGCTATTGTAATTTAAGGTATTGAAGTACATAAGTAGTTGTATGTTTGCATGTTTGTTATCAAGACGTTATACTACGAGTTACAGGGGCGCATCTATAAGCCTGTCCTGAGAAACATGTGACTGTCAGTGAATTGATAAGACTAATGTGATCTAACGATTATATTTTAATATACTGTCATTAGTATGAGAATATATATTACAAAAACATTTATTGCAATGCCAGTTAAACATTTATTTAACTGGCATTGCCCGCGGCTCCGCCCGCGTTCAGATGACCAAAAACCAAATTCTTAGGTTTTACATATCAGTATACTTACATTGCAGTTTTTGTATCTTTTCTCATGAGACATTTTCCCGCGGTAAAAAGTATCCTCTATGTTGACCCGGATAACCAGCTATCACCATACCAAATTTCATCAAATCGCTCCAGTGGTTTTTCTGTGATGCGGTAACAGACAGACTAACAGACAGACAAAAATTCTAAAAACTTTAGATGCGGCCTCTATATCGATAATAATGTTTATTTCAATAAGATTTTCCAAAAAATATTTAATGTACAGAGTCGGCTTGGTTACAATTTTATTATATGTATAGATTACAGTAATATTGTAACGAAACAAACGATATACAGAATATATTTCTTGCAAAAAAAAACTAGGAAAAAAATCGTTATAAGTATCATAATTATATTCTACATTATGTCGTTCCATAATTCTCATAAATACATATCGATAATCTTTAGAATAAAGTTTCATTGCAATCCTGGATTTCAGATACAGTTACGTAGAAAATAGCATTTTAAGTCTGTTGACACACTGACATATTCGATTACATCAGTTGTACGGCATCCATTGTATTGAACACTGGTGAAAGTTACTATTATCATATTACTATATATATATATATATATATATATATATATATATATATATATATATATATATATATATAATATTTTTCATACTAACTATATAATTTTATAAAATAGGTTCATTTAAATATAATTTTGCTTCTGTCTTAGCGATTCTCTAATAATTAATAAGCACATTTACGTATTTAGGAGATTTTGATGTCTCGAAAACTCCTTGGAATTTAATTCTCTTAATAGCACAAGCTAATTAGTTAATATAATGTTTATCAAATGTATAACTGGTTACATTATAAATATTTCTATAAGAATATCATTAAAATCCTATATAATTATAAACGCGAAAGTTTGCGAGGATGTAAAAAACTATTAATGGACACATATTTCGGATCTTTTCGACGTTTTATTTATACTTCGAGGTTTCGAATGCTTTACAGCGAACATGGTTACGGGAAAGAACCGTAATTACCTAACAAACACTTAAAAAAATACCAACTTCCAGGCACTAAAATGTAAAAAATAACTAAACGGAGGTTTTCATTTAGAATAGATACCTAATCAGATATTTTCGAAGTCGAAGAAATAACCGCTTGACCGATTTCGATAAAATGTATACGGATTACGGGACCTATAAAAAAAATAATTTTCCTAATCGGTTCAAGCGTCTTCGAGTAATCGGTGAACATACAATAAAAAAAAAGATTCCGACGAATTGAGAACCTCCTCCTTTTTTTGGGAAGTCGGTTAAAAATAGTTTTATTTGAAATGTTTAAGCTCCTGTTTATTTTGCCGATTGAAAACGGAACGGGCTCATTGCTTGTTAAATCTACGTTTAACTATTTTAAGCATCTTTCATCCCAAAATAGCTACCTTATTGAGCTCAAAAGATCCGCTTATAAAATTTTATTTTATATCAGTTATTTAGGTGCAGAACCATATAAATGGTAGCAATAATCAAACTTTAATTAGTACATCCCATAAATTACCATAAAGAAAAAAGCAATAAATATACTAAACGTTCACGGCAAACGCGACGTGACAAGGTGGCTGTAAATGTCAAATTAAGAAAAATTAATGACCATAACATGGTAAAGCGAATTGTTATATTATATAAAACATACACACAGATAAAGAAACTTAATATCTATATACGAACAGATGGTTTTACCATTCATTAAAAGTACGAGTATGTAGTACATATACTAGTCTTCGCTTACGGTTACGCTTCTCACATAAGTAAAAAAAATTAAATTAAATTATTAGTTTCGGAGTTTACTTCCTACAGCTAAACTGTCAAAAAATATAATATAGTTTACAAATGTTTATCTCATTAATAAACCAGGTGTTTCATATAAGGATATACGTGTGGGTAGAAAATTATTATGTAGCCTGTATTTTTATATCTGTATATGCAACCTCTTTTGTTGTATTTTAAGAGCATATTTAAATTGCATAGAAAAGTAAAATAAAACTTTTTTTAAGAGATTTATAACAATTTCTCTTATCATTCTGATCCAAATGAGGAAAAAATATAGTTATATAAAATTACAGCCCGTAAGTAATTAAACCTTATACTTACATGGCAACTTTCGAATAATAAAATAATCCAATATTAACACAGTTCCACGCTATTGAAATTGCGATATTTCATGATTAAAATATTTATGGTTAAAGTATCTAAAATAAAGAAAAAAAAAATTATTTCGTAACTGAGAAATAATATATATAAATAAATATTTACAAAGTAGGTTTAATCTAGCATTAGAATATTATCGTTCCTAAGCTCCAAGAGAAAATACTTGTAGATAATAATTAAGTAAGTAATTAAATATTTTCCACATGACTTCAACAAATGGGATAAATATCATCCAATTATTTGTATGAACTAGACGTATAATTTGAAAATCCTGAGTAGATACTTAAAATTAACTAAGCATGTGTATAGTAAGTTTTTTTAATAAGCTCACATTTCGAAATGTTGTTGAATGAATTACTTAATTGTGCTACTTTCGATACATTTGACCATAGCTGGAAAATTGAAACAAACCACACATTTACATCGTCATGTGAACTTAAATTACAATAGACTTATATTTTCCTATCATTATCAAGTTTTAGAAGAATTGCTTGGCGATTGCGATGAGACTTTTATTTTCTGCAAGACTTACTGTCGCTTTATTCATATGGTATATTTGTACCTTTTGTATTTGTAATATTATATTAAGGCAGCGCCACTTCTATACTATATAGTGTAAATAATAATAGTGAAAGTAACGCGGTTATCCTTTCACGCTTTAACCGCTGAACAGATTTCGATAAAATTTGGCAAAGACATAGATTGCATCCTGGGATCGGATATAGGCTAAACCCTGCAGCTTATCACGAGAGCGAAGCCGCGGGCAAAAACAAGTTTTAGCTAATTTTATGACCAACAGTAGCCTATAAGCTATGTGGTACTCTAGGTCATAGTCTATGTGTGTGGTAAAATTCATCTAAACCATCCAGCCGTTTCTGCCTCAAGGAGTAACAAACATACATACACATACAAACTTTTGCATTTATAATAGTAGGGTGATTAGGATGAGTTTTTATATTTAGATATATTTTATGATATATATATTTGTTATACATCTATCAATAGATAGATAACAAACGGTTAATAAAACCTTTGAGCCAATAAGTAACAGAAAACCTTAGAAATATATAACTGTAAATAATATGTAAATATAAATACTTGTTACACGTGAAGATTACGAAAAATAGAAACGGTTGCACTTTGATGTACATATTTGCAAGAACATGAGAATTTGAAACAATCACAAAAGAGGTCTACATCAAAGACTATATTGTTTATTTTCAATGGCTTCGCTCCCGACCCGAGCGATCTACCTGGTCGAAAGCCCATTCACGTGTTTTTAAATATTTCCACCGAAATTTGGTTGTCCATAACAAAATAGTGCAAATAAACGTTAGCAACATAAAGCAATTTGAAGATCCAGCTACTTTGATTGGAATTATTTTAAACTCTAATCAACATCCCTCATGTTAATAATGGATAGAAAATTATAGCCTTGTTTTTAAACGAGATTTAATAACTATCATGCTATTTTTTATAACTTTAACGAACTGAAGATTATTATAATACACCATCGAACATAACAACGTGAATAAAACTCTAAACTACACCGTAATCTCTTCTTAGGTATTTATTTTCAATTTAAAAAAAAGCTGTATGTAGGGTTTTAGCGACACAAAACATATTGTAATATTCAAACCTACTTATTTACATACATAATAATAAATTTATGGTATTATTATAATGCTTAATTATGCAATGAATGTTAAAGTTTAAAACTTACATCATAACTCCAGGTGCAGGAAACGCCAGCGAATTTGGCAACACATCGCCCTAACTCAACGTCCTCGTGCGTCGTGTATAGGTGCTTCAAACAGTACTTGACATGAGGGGCCACTCTCCGCAGAGTTTCTCGAGATAAAAGAACTCCCGGCCCTCCCATACAAAAGTTTTCGTTGTAATCCAAGGCTAAAGCGTCCCTCTCAGAGGTCGTGCCTCTGCCCGCCTGACCGATGAACTGGGGCTTTCTACTATCCACTGAACGTAAAAACTCCTCCAATTTATCACCTCTAACGTAAACATCGTCATCCGCACGCATGAACCACTCAAACCTGTCGCCATAATGCTCGTACATATATAACAACATTAAAAAGGATTTCTTTTGAGGAGGATAGCTATCGTCTACGTTACGCAGCGGAATTAGTGGCAATCCAGGCGCTTTGGACACTTCCGAACTAAAAAACGCAATACGCCCAGGTAACTCCTGTGCCCAAGTGTCGTATACTGCTTTAGCCCTGGTAGTCAGATATTGTTCAGCCGTCATAACACCAACAAACACTAAAGTTCTATTAGAATTGGAAATTGTTTCGTCAGCCTTCAAATCTATGATAGATAGAGCGTCCGGTGCTACATACATTTTAGCTTCCGGACAGGCTTCAATTGACGTCCTTGAAGAAGGTCTTAAGCACAATTTTAAGAACACACCGAGTGTCACACCGGCGACCACGCCGGCCACCAAATGCATCCATTTACTCCTGCGCGGCATCGTAACACTGATTTAGAAAATGCACCCACTATTACCTGAGTGTACATTCCAGGAACCCTGTTCTTGGCGGGGTAGATTAACTAACAGTAAATCTTTCATTCACATGTTCGAACAGTCACCTCGTAAGCGTGATAGATACTAAATAGTAAAGAAATGTTAAATTAAATATTCTAAGTAGTCTTGACTCCTGACTCCTGCGAACATTCCAGCAAATTTTATCTGTTCTGATAAAACAAAGTGGCTTTCACTTTTTCACTCACATGTCGGAATAACTGAAGTATTGTATCACGAATAAACTAATTTATAAAGGTAATATTAGACTATCTCATGAGCATTCCAGAATAGAACTACGAGGGTGTTGAGCTCGTAGCTGCTTTCCTCATTTTCAAATTCAATTGGTCACCTTGTCATCGAAATCACTATCGTGTCACTAGATATCAGATTCGCAGATACGCTCGCGTGTCGAAATGCCGTTCTGAAGATGATCACGCGACGGTCAACTCGTGCGCCGCGCGCCGGGCGAGCACTGCAACTGAGCGTCTGAGTCAAAACAAATTCCGGTCCGCGCAGACTTTAGTTTTTCTCACTTCCACCGGTCTGCCGCCGTATATCGCTCCTTATCGCGGGCATTACGGATAGGTGTGACGTTTCCATTCATCGTAAGAGATAATTTCGCGAGTATTGTCTGAAACCGCGGCTAGTGTTACGTTTTAAGATTAGGCTCGACGTCAAAGATCTCGTAAATGCCAGTGGCGTGACTATTTTAATATGGGTAAACTATACGTTTCCGACGTTCACACTTCCTATACGTCTTGAAATTTAAACGGCATTTTCAATTAGTGTACTTCCCTTTTGTTTATGAAAATTAAAATGATATGCTCAATGCTCGTAATATAACCTAACACCAAATTAAATAATTAATAGCTACCACCTCGTATGCGATGTCAAGGGCTGTCCGATTGCAATCCACTAATCTCTGGAATAGCTGTAAAGATATTTGCTACTTTTCACCTGTAAACAAAAGACCGTCCTTATTCGTAGATAAAAATGTGAAGGATATTTTGAAGTCAAAACAAAATCAATGAAATCTATACATATAATAAAGTTCTGAGTCGAAATTCAACATGAATTTTTTTTCGAAAATCTTAATTCTTATTAAAATAGTCATTATTATCGATACAGAGGCCGAATCTATAGTTTTTTTAATTTTATCTGTCTGTCTGGGAACGCATCATGCGAAAACCACTGGACAGACTTAGATGAAATTTAGTATGATAATAGCTGGTTATCCGGGTCAACATATAGGATAGAAGAGAGACTAACGAACAGCGATTGATTTTATATATACTCGTAGAAAATGGTGATTACATAATATATAAGTCAATCAAATTTGTGATGAATAAATGATGAATGAATGAATGAATAAGTGATGAATAAAATCATTCAATAGATTTTTTAAATTTCTTTTGCACACTGTAGTTATGTACAAGCCCACTTCTTTACAAACAGCTGCCTAAATTCGAGATTGAACTTGTCAGCATTTATTACAAAATCAAACAGTTAATATGTAGGTATAAAATATATTATTAGGAACATCTCATTTTATAAGGTCGCTTTCATACCTAATTAGGCCAGTCGAAAGTCTATTACTAAGCCAAGGCGTTCGCCCGTGCTACCTTATTTAGCGGTTTTTTGTCTTTAACTATTTGCAAACATTGCTTATTATTATCGATTGCTAAACGAATATTAAAGTTAAAATTGCAATGAATTTGTATTATATACTGGCCTTCTAACCGGCAAAGGGTGCATTAATATTATAATTATCTTTACATTTAATAAAATTGTAACAAAGCTGAATCTGTACATTAAATATTTTTTGGCAAATCTTATTGAAATAAACATTATTATCGATACAGAGGCTGATACTATGGTTTTTAGAATTTTCGTCGGTCTGTCTGTCTGTTACCGCATCACAGAAAAACCACTGGAGGGATTTTGATAAAATTTGGTATGGTGATAGCTGGTTATCCGGGCCAACATATAGGATACTCTTTACCGCGGGAAAATATCTCATTTCTGAGAAAAAAATACAAAAACTGCAATGAAAGAGTATACTAATATGTAAAACCTTAGAATTTGGTTTTTGGCCATCTGAACGCGGGCGGAGCCGCGGGAAATGCTAGTCACCTATACAAATCTCAGACCAATAAAAAAGTATTTTATCTCTGGATCTACTGAACCAATTTAGATGACATTTGGTAAGAAGATAGTTTGAGACCCTGGGAAGGACACAGGATACTTTTTATCCCAGAAATCATCCCTTAAGGTGTTGAAAATGGGGACGAAAGTTTGTATGCGGAATCAAGCTAGGGACGTACCCGAGCAAAGCGAGGGTGAGTCGCTAGTAGTCAATAAAATTATTAAACGCAAACAAGACCGCAATACCTACGTACATTAAAAATTTAATTATGTTATAGAGAATTTTTAACCTTAGGCCAAAAAGTTAAAAGTTATTGTGAAATGTAGATAAAAATGAAATACCTAGATGTAGTTGTATCGGTTACAAAAATCAAAGAAATGATGCACATATGTTGATGCCGAGACGTCGGGAAGATCATTTGCTTGACAGATGGGACGCTGTACGGTGCAGTGTGCAGTGTTACTGTGCGTTTTAATTTAGTGGGACATGATAAATTCTCGTGTATATTATACTTTAATATCTCGACCAAAATGTATCAGTTTTCTTGGTATATAATTATGTAGTTGCAAAAGTGAAAATATTTTGCTACAAAATGATCCCTCATTTTTCATCTTATATAAACCTCTAATCTATAAATATAACAAGTGTAACTGATCGCTGTCTGTACATGGGAGATATTTGAGAAAAACTATTATTGGGAGTTTTTATTAACGCAATAAAACCCAAAACAATGATTTTCTGAATTTTTGTTTGTTTGTCTGTGCGCTTGTGCGCTCTAATCTTAGAAACAGCTTAACCAATTTGAGTGGCGTTTTCACTAATGTAATGTGGTAGGCTTCACTTAATATTCAGTAGGCTTCACTTAGTATTTATTTTCTTTCAATCGGTTCATAAATATAAAAAAATATGTCAATTTAAATAATTTGAATGACTCTTCAAATAAGGTCACTGCTTAATCTTCCTAAAATACGAAATAAGCAAAATAAAAAAAACACACATACAGAATTAAAAAGAAACAACTAAGGATTTTCTATATAAATTCAATTCTTTTAGCGAAAATGACCCTTGAGACATGAACATACTTGTAATATATACAAAAAAGCTACTCGTTCTCGGCATTTCCGTGCTTTTTTTATATAATATGTAGGTACAGAAATATAAGAAATATAAGATTTTACTTTGTACCATGTTATTTTTTTATGGAAACCCTATATTTGAGGTTATGACGTCGTCGCATTCACAGCAATATACGTTCATTAGTTTCGGTGTAACGTTGGAAAGGCTTGAGTCGGGATAATAAAAGCTTTTTTTATGCTAACGATGTGCCATTTGTAGCCCTTTAATAACGAATAAAAAAATAAAACAATAGTATCCAAAATTTAAAATATACATTTAAAACAACTTATTAAATATACTATACTACTATACTACGATCCCTACTTTTGTACAATCTTTCTAGATATTTAATTAATTATTACTTGGAGTTCATTCTTTTGTACCCAATAAAGAAGGAAGTGCCAAAATGTTATCAACCTACGATTAGCCTTACCTACATACATATAATCAAACTAGCGAGTCACCCTCGTTTCGCTCGGGTTCGTCCCTAGGTTGATTCCCCATACAAACTTTCATCCCTATTTTCACCCCCTTAAGGGATGATTTCCAGGATAAAAATCCTATGTTCTTCCCAGGGTCTTAAACTGTCTTCTTGCCAAATTTTATCTAAATCGGTTCAGTAGATCCAAAGATTACCCTACAATCTCACAAACTCACAAACTTTATCTCTTTATAATATTAGTACACTTAAATAAATTACCAGATACTATTTTGTATTATTTTACATACGAGTACAGTTCTCGAGACGTAAGCTCAGCTTTGTATTTGTGTGAGTAATAGCCAAAAGTAAACTTAGTCAAAAAATCACAAAAATAAAATCAATATTTTATCAGAAGGAAATGCTGACATTTTAATTATAAAAAAAAACCGACTGATTTTATAGGGAGTAACACAAGCTACTTTTATTTTAGAAAAAGAATAAGGGTTCCGGCCAAAAAAATTAAAACGTACCTAGGGACGAATCGTGTAACGAGTCGTTAGTCCTAAATAAGCATTGTTATCTAAAATGTCATTAAAATAAAACAATAATAATGTTCTATAGAAAATAAATAAAAATATGCATATAGTTAAAAAAAAATTATAATAGCCTCTTGCCTTACCTTACTTAATACCTTATTTTTGTGATCTGCCCTGCACCCACTATGAGTTAAAAGAATATGAAAGGAAGAACTAATAATAGGTAAGAATTACCTGTTCATAACATATATATTATTATACGCATGTTCAGGTTATACATATATGTACCTATTTTTCTATTTGTGTATGTTTTGTAAGCCTGCAAAAAGAGAACTTTAGCTGTATGCGCTTTCTTTACTTTAACTTGAGACGACTTAGTTATGTAAAATTAAGAGTGCAACTAAAAATCCATAATTCCTAAAAAAACCTTTACCTTTAACCCTTTTTGTCGTTTTGTAAATTTTGCCGTAAAAAAAGGAAAACTAAAAGTTTTTAACAATATTATTAAAGGCCTCCTCTCCATAATAGGTCTGGGCCCCACACTTTTAATACGACCCTGTATATAGATAGATACGTACTTAGATATAGATAATAATCTCTGTTAAAATATGAAACACTTAAATTCAACAATAAGCTTAGTAAGTCGATACAAAAGGCCGTACTTATACTAAAACTATTAATTATTAGATCCGGACTAACTGCTAGCTCACTTCGTTAATATCTCTTG